GAGCCCGGGGCCGAGCCGGCGCCCGCCGTGGCCGTGGCGGTGGCGGTGGCCGTGGCCGTGGCGCGCGGAAGCCACTTGGCACGGGCAGCGCCGGGCACAAGTTTGTTCGCGGCTCGCGGGGGCCTGGGCGCTGAGGAAGGACGCCGCCGCCAGGGCTGCCGAGGAGGAGGGGAGAGGGAGGCGCGCCGAGGGGCGAAAGAGTGGGGAAAAGTGCGGAAAGAAGCAACAGCCGCTCCACCCGCGACGGAAAAGTGCCGCCGCGTCCCGGCCGCCCGCCCCGCGCCCCGCGCCCCGGCCGGGGATGCGGCGGCGGCGGCGGCTAACGGTCCAGGGAGGCGGCAGGCGCGGCGGGAGCCGCTAGGCGGAGAGACCAGGTAAGAGACATAACGGTTCGGGGAGAGCGAGCGGGCGGCCGCGGCGCGGCTCGCGGCGGAGGGGGGCAGAGCACTACTTTCTACTTTCCCACTCCACTTTGCCCGTCCCTGCCCCGGCCGCCCCCAGCCCGGCTCGCCCCCCTCATCCCCGGGGCGCCCCGGCCGTCCGGCTCCCCCTGACTCCGCCGCTCCCCGGTCCCCTCCGCCACTCACCGTTATTGCGCCGCGGGTTCGCCTGCTTTCTGCGCTTACACCTGGGGCCATCCGCCATGATCCTCTCGCTTGTGTCTAAATGCTCGAGTCACCTCCTCCCCCTCCCTCCCTCCCTCCCCCTTCCCCCCCCCCCCCTCCGCCTCCACCCCTCCCCCCTCCCCACCGCACCTGGTTTACGACACTCGCGGCTTTACGACATCACCTTCCTTACACCTAGAGGCGCTCGCTCTACGGCCGGAACCTTGTTGCTAGGCACGGAATGGTTTGCGGCAACTGTAGATGCTGTCAAGTTTGAAACGAGAGGAGAGGAAAAAGTTTTTCTCAGGTGCGGTGGAGTGAGGGAATCGGGAGCCTTTGGGACACAGTGGGCACGGGGGTGTCACAAAGGGTGACAGGCTGGCGACGTGGGAAAGGTAAAATCGGCGGCTCCTCGGCGCTCGGGCTCTGAACTGGCCACACCCGCCGCAGCGTAGTGGGCGCGTCGGGTCTGGCCTGCTGTGTCCGCACCCCGCGCCCTCTGAGCGTCGGGGCCCCTGGCCTCGCCCCACGCTCCTTGGGAAAGGGCGTCGTCGTTCGGGCTACCCTGGGAGTTCCCGCGGCTGGGGAGGGCACGTTCGGGGAACTCGGTCGGTGACGGCGCGGCCCCTGCGCGCCTCGTCCCGACGGTTTTTCCCCAGCGAGCCCGGCTGGGAAGTGACTGCACTTGGGTTGGTTGGACTTGAGCTGGCCGAGAGACGACGAGAAGTTCCGCTTGCAGAAGAGCGCGATGAGTAATAGCCGCACGCTGCCGGTCTCACTTCCTCCTGCGCGCCGGCCCTCACCTGCTGTCACCTTGGCTCTCGCCCTGGCTCAGGGTGACAGCGATGGGGCGGCGGCGCGGCTTTGACCCAGCCACTGCGCCTGTCCCGGTGTAAGCGTCACAAAAGGAGAAGCCAGCAGACACTTGTGGCCTCTGAGGCAGATTGCTGATGGTTATCTTAAGTCCTTGCTCGACTTTGTACAAGTTTGGGGGATTTCTGAAAGACCATATAGATGACATCTCAAATACCAAAAAAGTTGCCCGTGTGTTGTGAGGTTTGGAGTTAGCTTTCCCTTCCTGCTCCACACCCTTTTTCACAGAGGATTGTCAGGGAGCAGCTTTATAGAATAAATTCTCTGAATTCTATTTAAAAAATAGTTATGAATGAATAGTGTAAGGTTTATTGACAAGGTTAAGTAGACTAGAAACATGACTTACAGAAATATTAGAAATAACAAGTAACTCACCTGGGGAGGTGCTGGCATGTAACAGGGGCTCAACGAATTTATACCTGTAGTTGTCGCCACACCTGTGGCAGGTTCTAAACATCACCCTCCTAATGACTTAAAGATTCATTAATGATCTCTTCTTTCAGCTGAAATTACAGTCTGGTAATTTGAATCAGAAAGTTTCATCCTGAATATAGGTAAAAATTTTCTTTATACCGTTTGCTTTGACATTTTGAGACATAAATGCACTATTTGTGCATGAAATAGGATTGTACATATTTTTGCTGTACAAAATTTCTATATTGTATAGCTACATTTCCTCGATATCAAATAGCTGCAATTTTAAGTGCAGATAGTTCTCCATTTCCTCAGTATCATATTAACTGAAACTTTGACAATTCAGAATTATGTCATCCCTTTCCTTGGTTCAATGCTAATTTCTTCCATTTGAGGATTGCATAATTTTCTTTAGTTGCACCCTTAATCAGGTAATTTGCTAGAAAAATGTTCCCTTCCAGCTTTTTCAAAGCTGCAGTAGTTTCCAGCCAGGAAAAGAAAAGAAAACAAAACAAAACATACTTTTAACTCTGGGACGCATTCACCTACCCCTAAACTTAAGAAGCATTACACATACTGTTTTCTCTATTAGGCCTATAAATCACTTTTAGCTTTTCTTTGATGTTCATTCAAACCTTAAAAATCGTAAAATAGGGCTGGGGAGGTAGCTCGGTGGTCTAAGGACCTGTGTGGCAAGTGCAAGGACCCGGGTTTGATCCCCGGTACTGCTTGCTGCACAGGCGCCAGAGCTGGGCATAGTGGTGTGTGCCTGCAATCCCAGTGCTGGGGAGGCTGAGACGGAGGATCATGAACTTCGAGACCCTGTACCAAATAAATAAGTAAATAAAAAATTTTTTAAAAAATCTTAAAAGAGACAAATTGAGTACATGTCAGTGGTGACTTGTTCACTTAACTTGGGCCAGACATTATTTATGTGAACAGGATATCTTGTTCATTCCAGAATCCTCAGGCTTTGTGTGTGTGTGTGTGTGTGTGTGTGTGTGTGAGAGAGAGAGAGAGAGAGAGAGAGAGTATATTAATATGAATGAATGAGAATATCGTTAAATTGCTAAATTGCCCAGATTGAGCTCAAACTTTTTAGTCTTTCTGCCTCAGCCTCTCATGTACTGCAAATAGAAATGTACACCACCATATCTTCCTTAAATACTTCTTAAACATTTATATTGATGAACTTTTCTAAACCTGTTGTAGGCAAAAAAATTAAAATTGTATGTCTACCTTTATCATGTTCTTAGGAACAGTTAAAGTCGTGAAGATGAAAACCACTTGGTGTCATTTATATGCAGTCTAATTGCTCTTGATGTTAGTTTCTCCATAATTTTATCTAACAATCAACTATTCAGTCACACTTTTTAAATATGCATACAAAATATTGGTAGGCCAAATCTTCTAATATAAAATTTTAATTTTGTAAAAACCTATAGCTGTACATGTAAATGAAACATTTGACTGGTATTTCATTTTGTAATGCTCTTGGAAATGCTGAAATTGAAATGGAAAAGAAAGCAGGCAAAAGCTTATCGGAGAGTAAAGTGCTACTTTAAAACTGATGCATGTATGGTAGTCACTTATATAAATAATTTTGAGACATTTTTAGAATATATGAAAGAAAGAAAATTATTAAGATTTATAATAATTTAACTCAAACGGGATACTAGTAAGAGTTTAACATGAATCATGTATTGTTGCTTGTTTTGTAATTGTAGTGCCATCATACAACATACCTTTGTATATACTACTTTTAATATGTGAGTGTATCAACAGCACTAGGCCTGAATGTGCTCAAGGAGAGAAATTCCAAAAATGAATATAATCTTTTCCAAATTTATCAGAAAAGTTTAAGTGGATAAAATATTTTCAATATTGACTTTTCTGTAAGTTTTTCCATAAGTTCTTTGGACCTTGTGTTGGTTATTTTCTCCTTGCTGAAAAAAAATACTTGACACCCAAATTTAAAGGGGAAAAGCTTGTTGTAGATCAGTCTGTCAAGGTTTCAGTTCATAATCAGCTGGTCTAAGGCAGAGTGGCAAGGCAGAGAGGTGTCACAGGGAATACTTTGTGACAAGCAAAAGACGGAAAAAAATAGCAAACCATGTCATCAGTCTTCTTTTTTCCCCCTTATATTCTATCCAAGCTACATGCACCACTCATACCCATTGTGGGCCTTCCCATTATTCACACCTAGAATTGTGCCAAACCAATCAGTGGACTAATTTAATAACCAAACACCTTTAATCCAAGTATTACACACTCTAGACCCAGCCACCTCTGAAAAGCCCAAACCTATGACCACATGAACTTTTGGGAGGACATGTAGACACAAGTCATAACATCCTTTTATTTATTTTTTTTCTTTTTTTGCGAAAGTGGGGGTTGAACTCAGTCCCTTGTGCTTGCCAGGCAAGCGCTTATTCTACTGAGCCATCTCCCCAGCCCATCATCCCTTTCTAAATGTATAATGTACCCTTATAATCATTAGGATCATTTGTCCCCCACTTGCCTTCTTATTTCCTCCTTCCTATAGCACAGAGCAGACATTTTCAAAAATGGAAAAAAAAAACCAAAACTTTTTTTTCTTTTGCTTCTCTATCGCCATCTGGCATTATCTGGTCTTCAACCCTCTGGGATTTAGATAACTGAGTCTATACAATTACTGTTGAATGCTGGTTTTCACTATTAGAAGAGGTGCAACTTCCTGATTCAGTGCACGTTAACTCTAGGTCATGACTGAGTTCTTAAAGGTGCTCACACTATAGCCATGGCTCTTTTCTGGCCTAAAGAGAAACTCAAAGCATGACTTTAACATGTTTTTTTTCAACTTTCTCAGATATCACTGTAGTAGATTAGCTTGTTGCTGCTGAACCTGATTTGATTGCATAGGAATGCTCCTGATTCAGTGGACAATTTCATTACAGTGAACTTGTATGCCAAATCCACCATCATACCCAACAAGAGTTCCTAACTCAAGAACTTGAACTGGATGCATGCAACCTCACCAAAAGAAGTCCTCTGAGTCTGGGCTGACTTCAGTATTGCAGTGGAGGGAGCAAAGAGTTACTGGGATGTTAACGACTTACACTCTCTTGCAAAGAGCTACTTGGGAGTCACATATGCAATATCTCCTCAGAATATTTATGTTCTCTTCAGAAAACTTACAGGTTTAAATTTCTGTGTGCTTCTTTCTTTAGTAATGTGAGGTTATGTTTTATGGTTTCCTGTGTTTATTAGGTTGTCACTTTTGTGCATTTGTTCTTGTATTGGCTTTGATTTAATTAGGCGTCTAGTTTCTCTTGCTTGTCACAGCTCCCTTTCTAGTTTCTTCACCTCAAAACCCTGAGATATTATTACATATTTGAAAATTATTTCCTAAAAACATAAATTCCTCCCAAGTTTTTAAATTCCCTATACTTACTTAGCTCCTTCATGGTCACTCCTATTTTCTCATTTTTCTACACCCAAAACTACAGTAATCCTCCCCCAAAAATGAGGGTAAGAATGGGACTATGTGAAAAAAAATATATATATATATATGAGAGAGAGAGAGAGAGAGAGAGAGAGAGAGAGAGACAGACAGACAGACAGACAGACAGACAGACATACTAGAATAGGGAAGTAGAGAAATAGAAGATCTCTGAAGCCACTGCCCAATTCTCCCAGGGCAGAGAAAGGAGTCAAAAAGGGAGAAGAAAAATAAATATCAATTAGCTGAAATCTATGGAAAGCTCTTAGAAGGGATGAAGAAAATAGGTGTATTAAAAAAGGGAAATCAAAATTCATAGCAATTTCATTATTGAATGCCCAAGGTGAATTTTGGGGAAATAGCTAAAAAATTAGACAAGCTAACCAAAACAGTTCAAAACTTGAATGACAGATTCAACAAAGATATGAAATGTTTCAAAAGATGTCAGACAGAAATACTGGAAATAAACTATATAGAATTCATACAATCCACAAATGACCAATGTGATGACAGAGTATCTGTATTGATGATATAATAGTGAATTACAATAAAGAATTCAAGGAAGCCAAAAAGAAAATAAGAGAACAAGATCAGACTGTCCAGCAAGCTTCTAGATGACAAGAAGAAGACAACAAGACAAGAACACTGGTCTAAGGCTAATTGGATTTAGAGAAATCCTAGAAGATAACATAGATGGGTCTGATAACATGCTTGCAGAAATCATAGAAAATTTCCCAAATATAAGAAAAAGTTTGAAGTACAATATAGCAGGGCTTACATGACTCTGTTAACAATTATGATGATGGCAAGTAGCTCAGCAAGGCACATCTTTAATAAATTAACCAGATAAACAGCAAAAACCTGTAATTTTAAAATCAGAGAATAACAACAAAAAACTACATATAAAGATAAACCAGTTAGAATCACAGCAGACTTCTCACTACAAACTCTAAAGGACAGAAGAGTTTGAAGAATTTCAAGCCCTAAAGCAAATAACTTCCAACCCAAATAAACTTACCCAGCAAAGCTCACATTCAAAATACATGGAGAAGTAATTCATTCCCATGAAAAAAGAACTGCTCAGAAGATGTACAAGTACTGAATCAGCTCTAAAGGAATACCTAAGAATATTCTCAACAGGAATAATGAATCAGGCATAGATAAAAACACAGAAAAAGAACTATTGAGGTCTATGGGTATGCAGCAACAAAAAACATCAGGAAAAGAAAAAAGATAAAAAAAATCAGCTAAAGAAGGCAATTATAGTAAGTAATATTAATCTCAGTAATCTCTCCCAATGTCAACTCTCCAATTAAAATACAGACCTTAATCAAAAGAAAGAATCCAACTATCTGTTGTATTCAAGAAACTCATCTACTCGGAAAAATTATTAGACTAAAAATAAAAGGGCAGAAAACATATCATGCACCAGGACCCTAAGAACAAGCAGGGGTGCTAATTCTAATGTTAGAAGTTCTAATATCAAAATAAGAAGTTATATCAGAGAGCAATTTTGTATAAATTTCAAGCTAAAACTAATTACAAGAGAAAAAAAGGTCACTGTATAAGGTGACACAATTAAGGAACAATCCAACAAGAAGAGATAACATTGATAAACATACATGCACCACACATTAGAGCACCTATCTTCATAAACCAAAAACTTCTGGAATTAAAAGAAATAAACATTAAGATAATCCTAGCTGGAGATTTTAACATCCCACTTTTACAGAGATACAGATTGACCACAGAAAGACCAATGAAATTTCACAGCTGAACCATACCCTTGTATATATGGATTTAATGGATACATGCAGTGTTCCACCCCTCTACAACATAGGACACATTTTTTTTTTCTACAGCACATGGTTCTTTTTTTTTTTTTTTTTTTTTTTTTTTTTGTGCAGGGTTTCACTACACAGCCCAGACTCATAGTGATCCTCCTGCTTTCTGCCTCCCTAGTACTGGGATTACAGGTGTGCACCACCATGCCCAGACTCCCATCAGCGGCTCAGCACACCCAAGGGCGGGGGCCAGTGTGGCATGCAGAGCCAAGGATCAAATCTTGGCCCCTGTGTTTATCTAAGCAAGCGTGTAGTCCACTGAGCTGTACCACTGGCCCTAGCACATGGTTCTTTTGCCAAAATAGATCACATACTAGTCCACAAGGCCTGCTTAAGTAAAAACAGGAAGCTATGGCATCAACCCTATTTTTGTCCCATATATTCTATCCAGGCTACCTGCCCTTAGAACAGGTACCACTCACACCAGGGTGGACCTTCCCATTATTCATACCCAGAATTGTGCCAAACCAGTCAGTGAACTAATTTAGTAATCATACACCCTTAATCCAAGTATAACGCACTCTAGATCCAGCTACCTCTTAAAAAGCCCCACCCCATGACCACATGAGGTTTTCGACTGACAGATAGACACGAGCCATAATGCACATTTTCATACATGACTCACCAGATATTTCATGATGTTCCATTTTAAGTGTACAGGTTTTTCATATACCTGACTTCCTCAACACATTTCAGAAATGCACCATATAATTCTATAATCTTCATCAAAATTAAAAGTTTGTTAATTTCACAGAAGATAGTATATTGATTCTTCTCTATTTGATAACTATTTTCAAAGTTAGAGTTTGAAAGAAAAAGATTACATTTAGGCTGGGGAGATAGCTCAATAGAATAAGCGCTTGCCTGGCAAGCACAAGCGCCTGAGTTCAATCCCTGGTTCCACCAAAAGCAAACAAACAAACAAAAACGTTATTGGGGCCTGGGAGATGGCTCAGTGGAATAAGCGCTTCCCTGGCAATCAAGGGCCTGAGTTCAATCCCTAGTTCCACCATAAAAATAAATAAATAAAAAATAAAAGAAAAAGATTGCATTTAATACAGATTACTTGTCTAAATATGGAGGATAGTCATCCCCTTAAGGTACTTTTTAATCAATGGCTTGAAAGTAGATTTGTTGTACACATTCTGCAAGAATCAGGAATCATAAAGAAAACGTGGTTACAGGGTAATGGTGGCAAGCTTGTGCCGCATCAGGCTGTTTGTGTCATTTAGAGTTCTAGGAGGTTCATCATCACTACTGTGGGGGATGCAGAACCAACAGTTGTACTCAGTATGGGCTAGCTTTTCTAGGAAGTGTTACAAGTGATAAAAGGGACAACTCTTGTCCCCATTCCCCATACCTCCTATGATTTTATTACATATTGAACCTATAAAATTCCCCTCTAACAATACGCTCCTGTTTTTAATATGAGTCAATGTGACATTAACATATTGGGCTTCTTATGTAGGGGGCAAGTTTTTAAGAACTTGTCTAATAAGAGAGGTAGCTGAAGATGTCAGTGAATTTCCACAAAAGTGAAACCAGTAATCTTTCTCATAAAATACAGTACTTAAAAAACTACTTTAAAAGGTTGCTTCTATATTACTGATATTACTTGTGAATAGGAGTAACATTTTTACACTTAAAATTATAGACAAATTATAGAAATGTAACATGAATATTTTGCATTTTAATAATTTTTTTAAAGTATTGTCATATTGGGGCCCTGTTTTTTGCTCTGTTTTTTCCATTTATTTCTCTGGTGTCTTGACTTGATTTAGCAGCCTAACTGGTTCTGTTATACAGTATAAGCTGTTGTTTTGACCAGCAGCTATGGATTTATGTAATCCCCAGTTTCTCAATTACAGTTTGCCTTTGTTAAATCCTTGGATTATGCGTATTTAAATTATCTGTAATCAGTAACAGGTTTTAGGTATTCCATCGTGGTATTCCATCCTATATTGAGCTCACATCCACAGCTTCCAGATCCCTGGTCAGACCTTTCTCTCTCTTTCATCTCATGCATCTGTTTCTTTGCTCACTTATTTTATCCTGCTTAGATAGCTAGACCAGATGCCTTTCCCCACTGGTTTACTATTTGAGTGTTCTTTTTTATTTGTTCTAGATCTGACACATCTTTATTTAGATCACTCCCCTTTCTCTTTTAGTTCTACATTTTTTAATTGTTCCAACTCTGTAATTTTTTTTTTCATTTTTGTATGGTATTTGGTATTCTGTCTTGAAGAAACCATTCTCTGTCTTTCCATGCTCTGAGCACCTGACTTCTGTGGACCACATCACCCAGGTTCCTCTGCCCTTTGCTTTTTATTTGGTTTCAACCCATTTAAGAGTCATTGGCAATAACTAGAGGAAATAGAGTATTACACCTAGGTCAGGATATTTGACCCACTTCCATCCTCCTTCTGCCTATCTTTGATAGGAGCTTCACATTGCTTCTGTCAGATACTCCTATTCCACAGATGTTGGTCTTGCCAGGTTCCAGAAACTACTGCTTCTCTGTGCTTTCAGGCCTACAGATGGTAATGGGTATACTGTACTCTTGAAATCTGCTCACACCTTCACAAATAGTCTTTTTTTATTAAATATCTTCAATTACCTTTTAATGGTTTTATCTGTTTCCTGCCAAAGTTCTGAGTAATGTATAAATAGAAATAAAATTATTTTTAACCTTATGGTCAGCCAACAGTTCTATTCTCATTAATTACAACATTAAAGTTTTTGTTGTAAATGTGTTATTTGTTGAACAACTAAACACTAATTCTAATGTACATACTTATAAAATTCAGCAATTCATTATTATATAGTAATTATTCAATAAATATTTGTGGAATGAAGATCCCTATCCTAACTGATCTAAAATCCAGGTGAGACCACTTTTATATCTTTAAATAATAAGAGAAAAAATCATAGTACTGTATAGCTAAGATAGAGATACCTGGTTTCCCTGATATTTTTCATATTTTTTAATGTCAGTACTGTTCATAGTTATCATAGTCATCTGAAATAATGGCTCTGTTTTCCTCCTTATGTGTACACAGGTGCTACGAGTTCTGGCCAATGAGATACAAGTGAAAATATTGTGTGAAACACTGAGGAAGTTCTTCAGAAGGATACAGTTCTTCATTGCTTGCCTTCTTCCTGCTTTTGAAATCAGGATTGCTGACTCCTTGAGGGGGAGAGTAAGACTGGAGGAGTGAAGGCCTTGAAACTATGGAATATCGTAACCAATCACAGACTCCCTTCCTCCATTCTCTTGTATAGAGAGAAAAATAAATTTGTATGTTGTCTAAGCCCTCATTATCTTAGGTTGTCAGACATACACAGCCAAAGTTAATCCTATCCAGTGTACATATGGATATTAACTTCCTATTGCTGCTATAAAAATTACCACAAGCAGTGGATTAAAATAAATTTATTATAATTCTTAAATCAGATGTATAAAATGGGTCTCATGAGGCTAAAATCAAGGTTTTGGCAGGATTGGGCTCCTTCAAAAAGCTCTAGGGGAGAATTTGTTTCTTTGCCTTTCCAGCTTCTAGAGGCTGTTCACATTCCTTGGTTCTTAGGCCATTTCCTCCATCTTCAAAGCCAGTAACATCTGGCAGAGTCATCTTTTTGCTAGCTTACTATACTGTCACAGCCTTTTGGGGATGGATACCAGGAGTCGAACTCATGACTTCAGGCCTGCCAAGCAGACACTGTGGTGCTGAGCTATATCCCTGGCCACTAGTACTGTCTACTCTTTCTCCCTCTTCCACATTTAAGGCCTTTGAATAAATTGAACCCATCTAGACAATTCAGAATATTCCTCCATTTCAAGATCTACTTATTAGAAAGCTAATCCTAGTCTATATTCTTTCCTTTTGCAATATAACAACATATTCACAGGTTTGGACAGCAGGGACATGGATATCTTTGGGGGCTACTCTTCTCCCCTCTTTAGTATTTAAGTTTTAAGTTTTGTGACTGAAACATGTTTTTATTTATTGATTTGTTACAGTTTTATAGAATTATGCCAACTGGTTATTGTTCTTTATAGAATGTTTAGCATTTGTTCTACATGTAAATTTCAATAATTACTGATTTATTTGCTAATATTCTTGAACATATTCTATGTGACAGGCACTGCATTGGCATATAAATCCCTAGTATGGTCTGTGATTGTATAAGAATCTTACAGGGTTGGGGGAGAAATGGATTTACAAAAATGCTATTAAATATCAAGGGACAGTGATGTATATAGTATGATAAATTTCTTTGTGAAAGTGTGTGATTGTTTTTATCACATTCTATTGGGATGTAAAGTTTAGAATATCTATGGTTGTTAGAAAATAGCATGTTTTTGATATTCAGACAGATAGTAATGATAAGCTCAACTGCCTCTGTTACAGGGCAATAATATCATTAAGCTTCTCTTCTTGATGTTGAACAACTAAAGTTTACAGACCAAAGATTAGAGAAATAGAGGGGCTACAGTGATAGCCAATATTTTGGCCCTAGCCCTTCAAGGCAGTGAGGATTCAGGATATGAGTACCTGTGTTGTGATGTCCTGTAACTCAGTGGTGTCCCAAATTTTCTGATCAAGGAGATTACAGAGTCACAGAGGAAAGTGATTGATGATGTATGTGCCTAAGGAAAGTCACCTAGAGAGAAAAATTCCCTCAGGCTTTCATAGAAAGCAAATTGGTCAAGCAATGACCGTGACTCATCCAGATGGCTGACACTGACAAAAGACTTACAAGGTACTGTACATGGTTCCAAGGTAAATCCTGAGGGGATTTGACCGACCTTGTCAGATACCAAAATTACATTTGATTTATATAGGTCTTGTTTTAACTTGGTCTTAATCATCTAGCATAAACGTGTAACCATGAGGGATCAAATGTAAAGCTATATTAATATGCTGAGCTGTAAAAGGCTCATAACAACTTCAGACAATTGCCAGTTATGCTGATAACCCACTACTATTATGGACTATTGGATTATAGTGGGTTATTTTGTTGAATTGAAGTACCTACAATCATTGATCTGGCACCAAGTATGAAAAGGTTCTTTAAAGACTTCTCCAAATACAGCTTCTCTTACAACAATGGAAAACCCATCTCTGACAAAACAAGACAAAATAGGGAGATATAAATAAAGGACTCCGTGTGTGTGTGTGTGTGTGTGTGTGTGTGTGTGTGTGTGTGACACAGAGACAGAAAGAAATATATGTATATACAAAATAGATATACAGCTATTTTCTCTTAGTTCATTAAGAAGAAAGGTTTGTACTAATATTGTGTAGACAAGAGGTCATGTTTCCATCTTGTCCTCTGAATACTAGGAAGACAATATGCAATGTATTAATTATTGTAACTGTCATACTAACCTGTTTTGAAACTGTTTTATTTTTTATCTTTTTTCTCATTAAAATGAAAAAAAACATACCAAGGGGCATGGTTTACATAAGCTGACTCAAGGATCCCTTTTTGTGAAGAAGTGATAGAATTTGTCAGGATTAAAATGAAAGTAAAAAGAATTAAAGGTGGCAGTCACACATATGCAAAAAACCTCAGGATGAGAAAAGGATAGTGCTTTGGGGCTACCAATCCAAGGACTGTGTAGCTCTACATGAGGCCACAGAGGCATGTATGCAGGAGCCAGGTCAAATGAAAATGCTAGGCAGACATAGTGCCACATGTTTGTAATCCCAGCATTTGGGTGGCTGAGGCAGGCAGATTTTTTTGAGTTTGTGACCAGTGTGGGGTACAAAGCGAGTTCAAGGCCATCCTGGACTGCATAGGGAAATTGTGTGTCAAAAAGACAAAAGAAAGAAAGAAAACGAAAAAACAAATGAAAGAACAGAAATAAGATGCTCAAGATTTGGTGCATTATATTGACAGCATAACTGTGGACTGTTTGTGTGGATTTTAAGTTATGATGTGCACATTATATAAAATGTTAATGTTCCATGAAAAATGGGCAGGACAACAAGCATTAAGAGAACTTTAATTTTTTCTTTTGAATATAAATATTTAAGAAAGCATTATTCAATAAAAAAACAATACAAATATACAGTGTGACTATTCAAATAAATAGAGATGAAGTATAACGTTTCCAGATTATATTAACAAGTAGGAAGTAGTATCAGGCTGATGGCAAAAGAATAGAATATAAAGAATAATAATTTCCAATGTTTTCCATACTAATACAGTTATTCCAGGTTATATATCATGGTGATATTTCCAGCTGCTTAGAGGGCATGGCAAGCCCTCTAAACTATATAATACATAAATAAGTATTTTGCAGGAAGTCCCTACTGCATCTATTGATAATTTCTCCACGTTTATGTTCGCAGTTGTGTAACACACAAAAAACTTAATATCCTCTCTATTCAGATTCTGCTGTCTTGTATATTATCATGCCCATTTCCAAGAAGGCAGATTTGTTTTGTTAGGTATCAAATTCTTCTGGAAGTATATAAAAACTCTTCAGAATTAGACAACCAGCCCCATACGGCTGATAATCCTCTCACATACTTGAATGTACTTTTTACAAACCACTTGTGTAGTATATTTCATTTTTACCATGTTTTTAAATGTCTCATCTGCCTGAGCTTTTTATTTATGCATTTCTAACACTGAATACAATGCTTGTCTAATGGGAACTATATCAAATAAGAATGGAAAAGAGAAAAAGTTCATCTCTGCACATGGGTTTTGTGAAGGCTCAATACAAAAGTGTACTTGAAATGTTTAACTTAGTATTTGGCATGTGGTAAACAGTAAAGGAAAGGTAACAAAAGCAAAGCAAATTGTCAGCCAAGGATTAAAGTCAGGTGTTAGGCGCATAATCTAGAGTCCTTACACAGGATCTTTCTATTGAAGATCAAACGATAATTTTTATCCTTGAAAATATCATTTCAAGCATGAGTGAAATGATTCTAGCTTAACTAAAGAGCACAACAAAGAGATGACATTTACACATGCTTTTTGTTTAACATTAGTTGGGATACTATTTTGCCTAGAAATGCTGTTGGCTTACATTAGCTATATTGTTGAAGGAACTGTTTCTATAACCTTTCTACTCTAGGATAAGTAACTGTTTCTAGTGCAATTACATGGCACATGGTACTTGACACTTATACAATCTTCTTAAAAATACAAGTTTAAAATTTTGAAAAAATATGCAAACTTAGTTTTGATTTTTGGTTTGCATATAAATATTTTAACTGGTCAAAGCAGAAAGGTAGACCTTTTTTTTTTTTTAAGATCTAAGGGTTTGTTTTCATATTATATAAAAGAAGGGGTAAAACCGGGTATCACAAGTGAAAATCAGAACAACTCTAAATACATAGGCAGTGCCTTTCTTTGTTTCTTCTGCCTTGTGTTGTTGTGCTCCTGTTTCATTTTGTCTCAAGGCCTGCTCCTATGCATGGAAGTGTTGTAGACTCAGAAGAGTCGAGTCATGTCTCAGTGTGAGGAGGTATTTAGATACGCACTCAACATAACATTACTCCACAGTGCCTAGAGGAAAAAAATTATTCCTGCCTCAAATTATTATTAAAGATTATGTTATTCAATCTTTTTTTGACATGTATTATGGTATGTATAATTTTTCACACACACACATATAATGTATTTTGCCACATATATATGAGAGCTGTGTCAAATTTAGTATTAAGTATTTAAACATTAAATTTGCCTATATAGCTCTATAACCTTTATATTTGTCTTCACTTGACAGTACTGTTTCTCAGATTGTTAAGTGAACTATTGTTTACTAAGCCAGTTTTATATTGTTGAAGTTTAACCATTTAGATTTTTTTTGTAGATGGTTTTGATACAGCTTTTTTTTGGCATTTCCTAGTAAAATATTCTTAAAATTGGAATTAATGGAAGAATTCATTAGTTCCTAGGAAATGAAAATGAACATGTTTGTATGATGGTTAATATTGGTTGTTAAGGTTATTAGGAAACATGTAGAACATTAATAAGCACATTTCTGGGTGTGTCTGTGAGGTTGCTTATAGAGAAGATAGACATGTGGCACAGAAAATTGAGAGGGAGACCCACCCTGAATGTGAGCAGCTCCATCCAATAGGGTAGTGACCTGGATGGAACAAAAACTGGAGGAGGAAGCTCAACCACAGAGGTTATTTTCCTTTTTCTTTGCTTCCTGGCTGCCATGCACTGAGCACCTTCCTTCTGAATGCTTTCCCAATATAACGTGTCTGCCTTGACACAGGGCTAAAACAGTGATCTGGTGGACGGTAAGACCTGACACCTGTGGAACTGTGAGCCAGAATTAATCTTTGCTCCTTGAAGTTCATTTATGTCAAATATTTAACATTGCCGACTTTTGCAAAGGATTGTGCAAATAGGTGATGTCACTAGAGGTTTTTGAGAGTTATGTCATTATGGCTAAAATTTTTACTAAATAGCCAGTTCACACTTCTTTGAAAAATTTGAATTCCTCAATGTTTTAGAATATATGAAAACCCTTAAATGAAGCAAGAACATATAAAAAGTCATAAAAATTTGCATACAGGATTAAATCAGTGATCTCTCCTGCTTTAGATCCTGAGACAGTATCAAGATCTTTCATGAAATTCATCCGATACAGTTTTGAATTTGCATGTGTGCATGTGCGTGTGTGTGTGTGTGTGTGTGTGTGTGTGTGTGTTACTAGAGATTAAACCCAGGGTCTTTCCATTGAGCTGTCTTTCCAACTCTTTTTATATTTTATTTTGAGACAGAGTCTACCTAATTTGCTTAGTTGCTCAGGATGGGCTCAAACTGTGTTCTCCCTGCTTTAGCCTCTCGAAGCACTGGGGTTTCAGCAGTGTGCTGCCATGCCCAGCTTAATTTTTATTTTTATAGCTTTTGTAAAAGATTTGTGTTTGGCTGTATTCAGTTTTGTCTCTGAAATTGTTTACCTAGAATTTGGCCAAGGTGTTCTAATATCTATCACATGTAATTTAATCACATTTTTTTCTTCCAAGGTTATACAGATCAAGAAAAATGCTTCCAAGGAATCAAATTATTTTATTGTTATTTTTGATGTCCTACATTGTTACTATATAATTTTATCTTTTTTGTTTGTTTGTTTGTTTGGTTGGTTTTTTTTGTGGAACCAGGGATTGAACTCAAGCCCTTGCACTTGCCAGGGAAGCGTTTATTCTACTGAGCCATCTCCCCGCCCCCTATATAATTTTAGATAATTATGTTTTGCTTTATTTTCCATATTTTAATTATGGTAAAGTTATCCCTAGTTAATAGTCTC